TTGGCCCAGCCCCAGCCCCAACCTGGGCTGCACCCAGCACCTCTTGGGGAACACATGGAACAGCAGAAAGGGGGGAAAATTCCTTCCTGGACCCATGTAGCAACCAGTAAAGGCCAGAAGCTGGGAAATCCCCACTGGGGAGCCAAGATCCCCATGATCATCCCTGATATGGGGGACATGCCCCTATCCCTGTGTATCCCAACCGACCCCTAGGAATGCTGTGGGGGTGCCCCTGGAGGAGCCTCCTCAATGCAGCTCTGGGAAAGGGGGTGCATGGGGGGGGCAGCAGCAACAGGGACCCAGCTCAGCTAACACCCTGATCTGCCCCCTGCCTCATGCACAAGACCTGTCCTGGGGCTGAGCACCCCGCAGGCAGGAGAGGATCCCCAGCATGATCCCAGCTACATGAGGGTCCCATCCAGAGGCTGTGAGGGTTTTGCTCTCCTCTTTCCTTGCCCGTGCCCACAGAAGGCTGGTGGTTTCCTTCATTCTGCTTTTCAATACAAGGTGAATCTTATGGGGGGCGGGATATTGTATGCTAGAAAATACAGTATTTTTTCCCATAGTCAAGAAAGGAGTGAATGCCAAGAGCTCTCCAGGCATTTTCTAAGGGGTCCTGGAATCAAACGAGGTTGACAGCCCCTAGGCAGCAGGCCCCTAACTAGCAAAGCATGCTGGGAGTGTAGTCAACTGCTTAGCATAACACCATGCAAGCTACTTCCTACAGAGCCGGTGGGCTTGGGGGTCCGCAGCTCAGCACTGCCAGGTGCCAGAGCTCAGCACAACCATGGGCCAAACCTCCTGCTGGGATGTGCCCTGGGGCTCCAGCAGGAGGTGCTGCTGCCATAGGGACCCTGGGGGCAGCAGAGGGGCTGGGTGACCCCTGCAACCTGCCCCTATTCCAGACCCCCCCAACTCAGCCCAGGTGGTGCAAGGGGCCTGCTCGTGTCCTGCCACCACAAGGACGGGTCTAGGTGCTATCCTGTAATTTCCAGCATACAATGCCCTGGAGTGAGAGCCACAGCTGGTTTTTGAGAGGCAGAAGGAAGCAGCTGGAAGTAATGGAGCAGCAGTGCGAGGGAGCCAAGTGGGCAGGGCTCTTTGTGCTTTCACCCAGCAGAAACTGCTGTTACCATATTCCCTCACGTATAACATGCCCCTGTGTTTGCAGCAGTTGGGTTTTGGGCAAAGGGTGCATTCTACCTATGAGAAAATGCGGTATATTGGCGGTGAGGCTGGGCCTACATGGAATTGCCAGCCCGCACCTCCACACCTGGGGGACAGCAACAACGTGCAGGGGACAGGCTAATAACCAGGGGTCGGGGGGACGCAGAGCAGAGAGCTCCGGCCAGCACCCCCTGCCCCCTGAATGCATCCATGGAGGCAGAAGATGCCAGGGGCTTCCTCTGGTTGCAGAAAGGGCAGGGAAGCCCCCAGAGCACCAGGAACCAGCCCGTGCTTATGGCTCGGTACAGGAGACACCAATGTAGATCCCTGGTGGGACTTGGGTGGAACAGGCTGGTCCCCGGGGTCCTCACCATGGCCTGTGAGTGGGGCTCAGGGTGGTGGAGGTGGGTGCAGGGGGCTCATACCAGGGACAGTACCCTCTCTTCCCTGACCGTGTACGTGCCTCAACAGGTTGCGACCAGGCTGGGCACGCAGTAAATGTGAAACCCAAAGCTGCTGGCCTGAAGGTCCTTCCCCTGCCGCGATATATTTATGATGCTCGGGATTCTCAGACAGGAGCTACAAGTCTTAGCTGCTGCCACGTCAGCCCAGTCCTTGTGCTAACCCCAGCCGGACTGCCCGGAGCCGAGGCCCGTCCACTACCGCTGGCCCACGGCGATGAGGCTGCTGAGCCGGGACAGCGGCAGGAGCCCGGATGGAGTCTCACGCTCCCAGAGCCCGTGGCGTGTGGTCTCACCCTTCGGTTTGGCCTCCTCACCCGCATAGCTTGGGTCAGGCTCCAGGAGCTGCCCCAGGCATCTCTCACACACCATCAGCTTCCCTGGAAGGCATAATGTGGAGGCAAGGTGTGAACTCCAAGCAGCACTCATCTTGGCCAATTCCTTTATAACTCTTGGGTTTTGGCTAGCTGCCATGTTGGGAATGCTTATTTTTATGGCTATTGTCCAGCACCCATCTAGCTACTACTGGAACAGCAGGGGCTTTCTGTTGCGGGACATCCAGACTGTTGCCAGTGAGCAAAAAAAGATTTTAATGAATATTTCTGCTGTTTCTCCCCCGCGACTGAAAATGTTACTATCCCTCAGACCTCAGCAATGGCTGGGATTTCTTTTGTACCACATCACAGAGAAGATTCTGCCTTATTTTCCTTAATATCGCTGCCTGACTTCTCCCGTCCCTGCAAAAACGATCCCTTCAGCTTCCCTTATCAACGGCCTGTGTTGCATGAAGGTGAAGCTCTTGCGGCTGCTGGCAGTGCTCCCTCTTTGTACCGGTCGCATCTCGTCTCTAATGACATGCCAGGCTTCATGGGGCTTTAACCGTGCCCTGCGCAGCCCTCGGCATCCCCGCCTGGTCTGTCCGCCCTGGGGTTTCCCTGGCTCTCAGCGATTCATTGCATGGAGGCGAATATCCAGGACTAGCAATGAGATCTTTCTGGGCAACTCCAGTACCCAGGAGAGGTTGGTGCTGGGGGCCTGGCACTGTCTGTGCATTCTGGGAAACACAGCCCAAAGATGCTCTGTCCCCACCAGCCCCTTCCTCGCCCAGGAGAGGGGGCAATCGCCGGCCCTGCCAGTCTCCTACCTCCTGGGGGGCCAGGGGCACCTGGGGCCTCGTCCCTGGCTGGAGGTTTGGCCTCAGTGGCGAGAGTCCAGAAGGAGGACAGCCTGGGGGGAGGAAGGGAGAGGCAGGGCTTACGGACCTCGCTGCCCACCCCAGACAGGGGCGGGGGCTGTGGGGTGGAGCAGGCAGGAGTGCCTGACTCCTCCCTTGTCCGGGGGGCATGCTTCAAGGGATGGGGGATCCTGGGCCTCCGGCACTGAGGGGTGGCTGGCGGAGCAGGAAGGGATGGTACGAAGGGGTCTGGCTGGATCTTCCCCCCACCTCCCCTTGGACTCCAGGGCATCTCAGCTCATCCAGCAGCTGTGGGGAGAGAGTCCTCATAGCAGCACGTCTCACTCAGGGATCCCAGGACAGCAGCTGGGATCATGGTCCCCATTTCGCGGATGGACAAACTGAGGCACAGAGTGGGGAAGGAATTTACCCCTCATGCCCAATGGAGCCCCCCATGGCCAAGTGCCCTTCTTGGTGCAACCCTGGGCAGGGAGGACACCCCACAGGGGGGTGGCTGGTCCCTGCCCCGGGGTCAAGAGGGACCCAAAAAACCCTCGCTGCACAGGGAGGTTTGGCCCGATGCCCTCTCCTGCCTGGAGCCACCTGGGACCCCCCTAGGCTGGGAAGCTCCCAGGAACCAGGGGGAAAAGATGGGAGGGGTCCAGGTCTCTGGCTGGGGCAGGAGCCCAGGTGCTGCAGGATCCTCTTTACCTTCTCCAGACCAGGCTGTCCTCTGCCGCTCGGCCCAGTGCCATCCTGGACAGCCGCGACAGCCTCCTGCCCAGGCGGGCACCGGCGGGCGTCTGAAGCTCAGGTGCTGGCTGCAGGGAAAGGCTGCGAGGTTGGGTGCCCCCCAGGACCCCGATAGAGCCCCCCCATGACCAACTGGGGGGCTCCATTGGGGCACTGTGATGCTTGGGCTCTCGGGCAAGACCCCCGCTCAGCCCACGCTTGACCTCCCAGGCTCTGCCCGTGCCCTCTCCCCCCACTCCCCCTGCCTTAGGCAACGCACCTCGGAGCTGCTGGAGGAGCCGGCAGGGCTGGGTACGAGGCTGTGGGACAGGTGCACGGCGGGGTCCTTGCAGGTGATGGAGAGGCCGTGGCGCAGGATGGCGGCCAGGCGGCCCCAGAGCCGGAAGACGGCGTCGGGGTGCTCAGGCCGCAGGCACAGGTAGTACACGGGGCCTGTGGCCACCTGCAGCCGCAGCAGCCGCCGCGTCGCGTCCTGCACCGACAGCCGCACGTAGCGCAGGGGCAGCAGCCTGGGCAAGGCGGGGGACAGTCACGCGTGGTGCCCAGCGCAGGGGTCACCGGTGCCTGCTGCAGAGACCCTCCCGGTCCCCGCCCCGCTCCGTACCTGCTGAGTGCCACGGGGGTCTCCTCCAGCGGCCCCTGGGGTGCATCCTCCCACCGGGCCATGAGCAGCACGTTGGGCAGCGGCAAGCAGGGGTCAGAGGACGTCACGCCCAGTGTCACAGCCGTGGGGCAGTTGTGGATGTCCACCCAGTTTCCCTGCTTGGTCACCTGCAAATGGCGGCAGCTTATGGCTGGGGGCACCGCCTTCTCCCCCCACCCCCCCCACTGCACAGCTGTGCCCATTGGGAGGGGTGCCCAGCTGGGGGCCATAGAGCGGCCAGGGATAAAGGCTTTGGTGACCCTAAGACAACCCCTTCATCAACCCTGCTGTGTCCCATCTCGGCTGGGGGGGGTCCCAATCCCTACCCACACCCAGGCCTGAGGGAAGGATGCTGGAGCTTGCCCAGGCATGTGGGGTCTGATTCCTGGCTTCCCATGAGGCTCACGGAGCAGCTCCATCTCCAGGCCTGGGGGGCACGGAGCTGCTTGGGTGGGAGGTCTCCGAGCCCAGGCAGCACTTTGCCCCCCGGGGAAAGTACCTGGATGAAGTTGCTCTCGAACACGGCCGACCGGGGGAAGAGGTTGTAGTCCGGAGACCGCAGGAGCTGGCACAGCAGCCCCCCCTCCACCTCCAGGGCTGTCTCTCCCCCGCGGGCGGCATCGCCCTCTGCCCCAGCCGTGCGGACCCTCATCGCGGCATCAGGCCGCCCCCGGCGGCCAGGGCCACGTCGCTCTCGTCCCTCTGCTCCGAGCCTACCATGCTTGGAGACAGGCCTGGAGCTGTGGGGTGCCCCCCACCTGGCCCCGCTGCCCTGGAGCTGCGATGTCACAATGGCTGGCAGGTGACCGTCTCCATGGTCAAGGCTGGGTGACCTGGGCAGCTGCGGACCCCCCACCCTGCCCAACACCTCTGGACTGCAGCGTGTGACACCCCCCCATGCAGCTCAGGTAGCCTGGGGCACCAGCAGGGTGGTCCGCAGTGCTTGGAGAAGGGGGACATCAGGGGTGGGGTGCGACCCCCCTGGATACAGCAGGACCGTAACATCTGGGCTCTACCCACTTGCTCGGGGACAGCAGCAGCATTGCACCCAGCTCCGCATCTCCCCCAGCCCTGTTCCCTGCGACCTGGCCCTTGCGGGCAGCAGAGGTGGGTCCGGCAGCCCCAGGCCTCGAAGGAGCTCCTGGCACATCCAGAGCCAGCCCCACGATGAACCCCAAAGGCGGCAGGTTGGGAAAATCCCCCCCTCCGCCATGCTGCCCACGCCCCACCCAGGAGGCGGCGCGGCCCCTTTCCCCATCCTCTCTGCCTGCCCGAGGGGCACGGCCATAACGTATCGCACTTATTAGTCTACGAGGTGCGCGTCTGCCTGGAACCAGCACATCAATTTTGACCCACATGTGCACGTGTGTGCACATCCACCCCGCATGAAGATGCCCGACGGGGCAGGACAGACGGGTAAAGCTCCCGCGCCGTTGGCTAAAATAGCTGTGAATATGCACGGGGAACTCACTACCTAGGGTCAGCGGAGCCTTTTGGCTCCGTGGACCAGAGGAGCGGCTCGGGGGCAGGTCCACAGGCCGGACTGGGCTCCACATGCCAGGACCGTGCCCTCCCGTGTGCCGTAGAGCAGCCTCAGTGCCACGCTGGTGCTGCCCGCCCCCATCCTGGCAATGGGGGGAATGGGACCTTGCAGATGTGCCCAACATCTGGAGGGGCCATCCTGTGCCCACCCTGGCACCAAATGGCAAGACAGAGGGGTGCAGGCCTGTGGACACTGCTGCTCCCCCAGCTGAAAGAAAACCCAGTTGTCCTGGCTCCCAGCACCCTCCCCCCCCACGCTAACCGCTAGGCCCTAATCTCCTCCTGGAAAGGACCCCAGGCATCCTAGCTCTGCGCGCCCCCCCGCAGCTGGGCACGGGATGGCACTGGGGCAGGGGACAGGAGCCTCCTTGTTTCCCACCCCTGCTGCCTTGCATTCATCCCTGGGCCCTCCAAGGAGCCCCCAGAGCCCATCCACGTCCCCCCCAGCTCCAGGGAAGGTGTGTACCCTCATGTGCATGGCGCTGTACAGACTCTGGACCTGGCTCAAGACACAGCTGTGCCAGGGCAGGGGGGACAGTGCCCCCCGCGCCCGGCTGAGACCTGGTGAGATGCAGAGCGGGTGCAAAGAGGCTCTGAGCCCACCCCCCCTACTTCATTCGGAGACCGGGTTCCTGCTGGTGGCAGCTCAGGGCACCCCTGGGCCTTGGCCATAAATGCGGAGGCCTGTCTACACTATGGCACCCTCGCTGGGCAGCTGGGTAAATGCAGGAGGGTAGATGGGCTGAGCCCACAGGGCTTGGGGTGGGGGGGCAGCCTGTCAAGAGCCCCCATAGCTGCCCCAGGTCCCGGCTTCTTGCTTCTGCCCTGGCACGTGCCTGCATCCTCCCCTTGCTCCTTGACTGGCCCCGTCCCAGCTGTGGGGTGACTGCGGGGTGCTGGGGAGACAGGAGCATCTTGCAGGGGGGAAGGGGCTGGGGCTCAAGCCCTCTAGCTGCACTGGAGCCTGGCACCTCCCTTCCCCCTGGGGGGCAAGGTGTAGGACCACGGGGCACAAGGAGGGGACCAGAGGCAGGTGGGGGTGGGGGGGCTGGATCCAGCACGGAGTTAGCTTGGTGCCCCTCACCCTGGCCTGGAGCCTCCAGGGGGCTGCTTGACCCCCACTTCTGGCTGTGCCCCCTGCACTGTGGGCCTTTGGGGTCCTTGGGGTCACGACCCTGCTCCCCCTGCCCTGGGAGAATTGCCCCCCCCCCTGCTCTGGAGCACAGGGACAGGGGTCATGGCTGGGGGATGCCCCTCGTCCTGCTCCCCCCCAACATCCCCTAACCCATAAGGGTGGGGGGGCAGCTGGGTCTTAAAGGGCCAGCACCGAGTTTCCAGCAGAGGCCTACCTACCGGCGGGTGGCACCCTTGCAGGTCTGGGGAAGGGCAGGTGTGCAAGGACTGGGTGTGTCAGCGGCAGGTATGTGGAGGGGGCACGCAGAATGGGTGTGCAATGGGAAGTGTCCAAAGAGGAGGTGCCAGCAGGGGTGGGCGCACAAGAAATGGGTGTATGTAGGCGTGTGTATACAAGGGGGAGGTGCGTGCAAGTAGGTGTGTGCAGAGTGGGAGTGCAATGGGGAGTGTGGAGAGTAGGCATGCAAAGGGGTGTGCAAGACCGAGGTGCGTGCAAAGGGGTGGGTTGTGCGAGGAGATGTGCAGGGATGGGTGTGCAAGGGGGTGCAGAAGGGAGGTGTGTGCAGATTGGATGTGTAATGGGGTGAGTGTAGGGGTAGGTCTGCAAGAGTGTGGTGCGTCCAGGGGTGGGCGTGCAAGAAGTCAGTGTGTGTAGAGTGATTGTGCAATGGGGTGCATGCAGTGTGGGCATGCAAGGGGAAGGTGTGCAGGGGTGGCTGTGCAAGAGGGAAGGGCATGCCTGTGAGGGTGTGTAGGAGTGCATGTGCAAGGGGCAAGCCTGTGAGGAGCAGGCGGCAGCGTGTGGGTTGCACGCACACACACGCGCACACACGCGTTCAGCTTGGATGCGCCTTCACTCCTGGTGGCTGCATGGACAGATGCTGGATCCTGGCTCCGATCCTGCCCGGGTGTGGGGGGGAGTCCAGGCTGCGCTCAAGGGCCCCGCTCCCCTGCGGCACCCACCAACCCTTGCCCCTGGGCTGGGCATTGCTGGGGGGGCGATGCCCGGGGAGAAGGGAGCAGTGCAGTGGGCGCGGGGGCTGCCCTGGCGATGCCGTGGTGCCAGAGCCAGGGCCGTGCCAGGCTGCGAGTGGCTGCGGCGCTCGGATGGCAGCTAAGAGGCTTGGCCTGGCAGCCACCTCTTTACGTCTAATCCCCCCTGCTGCTCCCTCCCCCGGGGCTGTCGCCCAGGCAGCGCGGCCCCGGGTGCCGTTACCAGGCTGCGGGTGCAGCAGGGGACCCGCTCCCCGGTAAACAGGCCGAGGGGGCAGGAGCCGGGCCCTGCGGCTCTGGTGGAGCGTGCCGCCCAGGGAGGGCCTGCACCACTGTCCCCTGGCACCACGGTGTTGACGGCCCCGGGCAGCAGAAATGCATTGCATCTGCCACGGCTCCGTGGGGAGGAGGCCTGGGGAGGGGGCACAGGACGGCTCCGGACCCCTGCCCCAAGCTGGGGCTTTGCTCCTGGGACATGGCTGCAAAGGCAATGACAGAGCTGGGTGACTAGCCTGGGCGTGGGGTGCAGGGACCAGGGGACTGCTTGCCCCCGTGCTGTGCCACCGCCCGGCTGCTTTGCACTGGGGCAACTTGTGCCCCGTTTCGGGGGGAGGCAGGGCCGTGGCGGCCCCTCGAGACCCCGAGCCCAGGCTCCCGCCCGCGGCGCTGGGATATTCCCGCTAATCGCTGCTCAGCACCGGCAGATGGAGAAGCCTCTAATACCCCACGACCTTGGCAGCTTGGCTCAGCCGGCGCTGGGGAGGCGTAGGTGGTGTCCGGGCTGCCCACAGAGCACCGAGTCCGGCCCCACGGCCCCTGTGGCAATAGCTCCAGCCCGGGGCCCTGGGCCCAGGTCACAGCCTCCAGGGCGGGCAACCCACTCACCCCACACAGGAGCCCCCAGCTGCCGCCCTGCAGCGCGCAACCCCCTGGAGGTGTCGCTGTCACCGGAGAATTGCCCCGTGCCGCCGCGCTGGCCAGGGCAGGGGGCGTGGGGGGGCACTCCAGGGGTGTCACGGGGTCGGCCCCGTGTCCCTGCCCAGCCCCTGGTGTGCAGCACAGCCCCGGCCCTGCACACCAGCACCTAGAACATTCGGGGCCCCCCAAGCAGGTGCAGAGGCAGCCGCCGCCCCGCTCCGCGCCTCAGTTTCCCTCCTTCGGGAGGGGGGGCGCAGCCCCCGCCCCG